GGATCCTGGGCGCGCACTGACGCGCCGCTTCTCTGGCCATGCTGAGGCCATGTCCCACATACAGCAACTAGAAGGATGTGCAGCTATGACATACAACTATCTACTGGGGCTTTGGAGGAAAATAAATAAATAAATAAAATTAAAAAAAAAAAAAGAATAGACTCTACTGGGGCTGAGTGGAAGCCAGGAGACCTGTCCCTGGAGGCTGCTGCGATAATCCAGGTGAGAGACCATGAAGCTTGTGAAGCTTGTGATGGAGCTGCTGAGAAGCAGTCAGATTCTACATCAATTTCGAAGGGAGAGCCAGGATTGGCTGATGGTTTGGATGAAGGCGTATAAAAAAGACATGATGCCAAAGGATGGGGTTACCACTTCTGGACATGTAGAAACCCATGAGGGAAGCTGGTGGCGCTAAGGGGTAAGCAGTTCAGTTGAAGGCGCATTAAGACGAAATGCCAGTTGGTTATCCAAGTGGAGATGTTGACAGAACAGTTGCATCTTCGAGTCTGGAGTTGGAGATGCCTGGGCTGGAGATAAGAAATGGCATCAGTGTGTAGATGGTATTTAGAGCCATGACACTGGAGGAGCTCTCCAAGGGGGATGTAAATAGAGAAGAAATCGAGCCTAAGGACTGAACTTTGGGGACCCCACATTAAGAGCTTGAGATGAGGAAGAGCCAGCAAAGGAGTGTGAGAAGGAGCAGTGTGGTGAGTGGGAGGAGGAGGGATGTCAGATGACGCTGGTGGGCAAGGAAAGTAAGGACTGAGAACTGCCCACTGGATGGGGGCCTGTGGAGTCCCGGTTCCCAGGCCTCTGTATGCACACTCTGCTCTGTCCTGATCAGGACGTAACTTGCACATAAACCGTTAATGAGGCTGTGAATTCAACCCATATTTAGTCTGGAACCCCCAGAATCAGCCTTTGGGTTTGATGCTGGGCTCTCTCAGCCCTGTGGCTGCAAGAGACAGGAGACTCCTTTGCAAAGTTGAGAAAGCTCTCAGTTTGTGCCTTGACATAAGCAGCTAAGAATCTGACCCTGTCATTCTCTTTATTTAAGCTGTTTGGTGCTGTTAGAAGCAACCACCTGACATCCTTCATGCTATTCTAAGGTAAAGGCCATTGGCCTCCCAAAACCTTGTCCTCAATGAGCTCATCACCTGAGTGGCCACCTGCAGTGTCTTGTTTTCTGAGACCAATTCAGACACAAAATTGTGTGGGGTTTTCCATACCAACAACCAATTCTCTGATTCCCCCACACCAACTGGGTGTCCAACAATTCAATTCAATTCTTTTTTTTTTTTTTTTAAAGATTTTATTTATTTTATTTTTCCCAAAGCCCCAGTGGATAGTTGTATGTCATAGCTGCACATCCTTCTAGTTGTTGTATGTGGGACTCGGCCTCAGGATGAACGGAGAAGTGGTGCCTCGATGCGCACCCGGGATCCGAACCCGGGCCACCAGCATCGCAGCGCGCGCACTTAACCACCAAGCCACAGGGCCGGCCCTCAATTCAATTCTGACACTAACTCCAGAGTTAGTGCAGACCCCACAGATTAAGGGCTCAGTCCCACAAGACTGCCCCCACTTCAGGTGCCATTCACAAGTCCTGAGAGGGCCACTCATAACTTTTGACCAGCTGGCTGTAAATCGGGGGTTCCTACAACCCCCTCTTCAGGTTCAATAATTCGCTGGAACGACTCACAGAACTCAGGAAAACACTTTATTTACATTTCCCTGTTTATTATAAAGGATACAGGGCCGGCCCCGTGGCTTAGCGGTTAAGTGCGCGCGCTCCACTGCTGGCGGTCCGGGTTCGGAACCCCGGGTGCGCACGGATGCACTGCTTCTCCAGCCATGCTGAGGCCGCATCCCACATACAGCAACTAGAAGGATGTGCAGCTATGACATACAACTATCTCCTGGGGCTTTGGGGGAAAAAAAAAGGGGGAGGATTGGCAATAGATGTTAGCTCAGAGCCGGTCTTCCTCAGCAAAAAGAGGAGGATTAGAGGAGGATTAGCATGGATGTTAGCTCAGGGCTGATCTTCCTCACACACACACACACACAAAAATGCTTGCCATGGACTGAATGTTTGTGTCCCCCCCCCCAAATTCATATATTGAAATCCTAACCCCCCATGGTGATGGTACTAGGAGGTGGGGCCTTTAGGAGGTGATTAGATGGAGAGGGTAGAGCCCTCCTGAATGGGATTGGTGCCTTCATAAAAGAGGCCTCAGAGAGCTCCCTTGCCCCTTCCTCCAAGTGAGAACACAGGGAAAAGATAGTCATCTCTGAACCAGGAATCAGACTCTCATCAGACAGAATCTGCTGGCACCTTGATCTTGGACTTCCCAGTCTGAACTGTGAGAAATAAACTGTGTTCATAAGCCACTGAGTCCATGATGTTTTGTTGCAGCAGCCTGAACGGACTAAGACAGCGCTCCACCTCCCTTTCCCTAGCTCTGCCGGACCCCTGTCCCACAGTGAGAGGCAGGGCCACTGTTAGCCACTGCCCCATCTCAGGGTGTTTTGTGAGAGCACATGCCCCTGGAGCAGAGAAGGATGAGCCAGCTTGGATGGGCCACGCTCCTCTGAGCCAGAAGGTGGCCTCGTCTGTGGGAGCTGCCAGTTCCCACCCTCAGACCAGGCTATCTGCCAGGCTTGCCCTGAGCCAGGGGTGAGCCTGCCTGGACCGGGGTGTTAGGATGACCACGGGGATAGAGGTGTCAACCCAGGGGGCAGGGTGATGGGGTGTCTTCAGCGCTGGGGTTCCCGGAAGACTCCTTACCTGGCTTCCAGAAGGAAACCGGAATTTGTTGGGTGTCTACTGTGTGCTGAGGTCTGCCCTGGGCACTGTCCCCGCGTCGCCTTACCTGGTCCTTAGTTAGGAGTGAGGATCCCACGGGCAAATGAGGAAGCTGAGGTGCGGGGAAAGGCTGTGTCGGCTTCCCGGCAGCACACAGTAGGCGCTGTGCTAGGATGCAGACTCCCGTGGAGAGCTCCTGGGGAGCGAGGGCTGGGCACTGGGGGGCGACGGGCGGAAAGTATCCCGGGAACAGAAGGCAACTCCGGTGGTCGCCGGGCGCCCGCCCGCGTCCGGGAACCGGGTCGGAGTTTTCGCGCAGACACTGGACGTGGGCCTGGCCCGGAGGCTGGGAGGGGCGCCCGCTTCCCCTCCCTTGCCTCGCCTTCTTCCCCTCCTCTCCTTCCCGGGCGGGGTTCCGGGAACCGGCCGGGGCGGGGCGAGGAAGCGGGTGGCCGCCCGGGTCGCTGAGCGCTGTGGCTGCACCACGACCCTGGTGCATCTGTCCGTCTGTCCGTCCGTCCACCCGCCCAGCCATGGCTGCGCTGACCCCCACGCCACGGATCCTGTTGCTGGTGCTGTTGCTGCTACCGCCGCCTCCGGGTGGTGAGCCTTTGGGGAGGGCGGGAGTTTGTCCCGGCCAGGGACGGGGGTCAGCCACGTCCGCGCCGTCTCTGGAACGTGCCCAGGCAGCGCCATCCCCTCAGTGCCTCCCATCGACACCTAATAACCCCGAGGCATTCAGCGACCCCACGACTGACCTCTCCTCCACCCAGCACCCCTCTCTGTCTGAACTGACACTGCCCAGACCCCAGGCAGCTGCCACCATTGTTCTGCCCTGGAATGGTGGGGTGGGGGTCTGTCTTCTGATGTTCCAAGGGATTGGGTCCCCAGAGGCTGGGGTAGGATTCCCTGCTTAGCCTTAGCGGTGTGGGGGGCGGGGCGGGATGCTGGGAGGCCTGGCCCCTCCATCAGAGGCCTTCCCTCTCAGCCTCTGTTTACTGGCTGGGAGCCCCCATCGCTGTCTCCATGGCACTTGTGTTCCTGAAGAGGGCTGAGAATGCCTCCAGGGTTGGAGGAGACACAACTAACTGTGTGTGTTGGTTGTAGACTGATGATTCACAGCCCGGGGAGGCCAGGCTGGGTGCCTTTTAAGAGTGGGAATTAGAACAGATCCCACCCCCCAGCCATAGTTAGCTGAAGATCCCTCTAGGGTGGGTAGCTTCCAGGAGGGGAAGGGCTTTATTTCCTGGGGGCTGGGATGAATCTGGAGGACCTGGGGTGGGAAAGTGAGAAGGTGAAGCTCTGATCCCTGGTCCGGTGAGGTCTGGAGAGCCGTGTCCAGAGTGTCTGGGGGTCAGAAGAACTTTTGTGTCGTGGGCTCTTAGCCCAAACAGGGTCACCGGTGTGTCTTCAGCCCCAGCTTAGAGGCTCCGGCTGGACTGTGCCTGTAAAGGCTGTGAAGACCCTGCTGGAAGGGAGTCACTGAGCTACCCAGTAGCATGGGCCATGCTGACCATACGTGCTGTCAGGTGGACTGCTGGCTGGGCTGAACCTGTTAGTGGTCTGATTCTCTGCCCCACAGCTTTGCCCAGAGCAGGGTTCTACCTGGAGCTACCAAGAACAAAACACGCCCCCTACCCCCAACCCATTCCTAGTTATCTCTTCTCAAGGAGGTCACTCAGTACTTCTGTCTTTGGGCATCGCTCTGCTGCTGGCCCCAGGGTACACGATATACTGACCAGGCTGGGTCTCCAGAGTCTGCGTGCTGTGCCGTGACTGTTTCCAGGTGGCATAGCCACACTTCAGGGTTTATTATCAGACCTATCCCCAGTCTACTGTAGTCATCTGGGCCTTGCTGGACTGGGTGTTCCATTTGGGGTCTGTCTAGGCAGAATCTAGGACTGTCCCCTCCTGCTGGTGGGCTCTAAATCTCTGCTAATGTAGCCTAAGGATGCATGGGAACATTTGGCTGTAGCATCTCCCTGGAAGTTTGCAAACCTTGTGGTCACCCAAAGCCCTTGGTCATTTTCCACACTTGTCAGCCAGGTCCCCTCAACATGACGTTGTATACTGAGGCTCTGTGCTTACCCCAGCCTGTGGGGGTGTCCTAAGATCCCAACTCTGTGGCTGAGAGCCTTGTGATGGGTCTGGGGCTTCAAATGGTGCCACTGCCGTGGAGCCCTGGCCCCTGAGGGCACTGACATTTCCTAGGCACCTGCTGCAGGCCCAGCCCAGGTCTAGCTAAGTGCTGCATGGACGCTTATGTGGTGGGTGTGACTGTGGCCGATGGTGAACTGGTCAGGAGACAGCCTGCCGTGAGGGTGTGGTCTGTGAGGGTCGGGACCCTGAAGTTGTGGGTTGTGGTGTCCAGCAGGAGCTGAGGCTGCTGTGGCTGAGTGGTGGAAGAGGGAATGAGGATTAAGAACTGGGCGGCCCAGGGCCTGGTCCTCGGCAGCTGGTTGGGGGTGTTACTGACCAGCTGTGTGACTGCTGGACTTGGGCGGCTTCTGGAGGAGGGGGCCTGGAGTAAGGCCTTGAAGGAGGAGTAGATTTGAAGGTGGGGGATGGGAAACAGGCAAAAACATGGACAGAGTGTGGATAGGGCCAGAAAGTTGGGGTGACCTTCAAGGCTCTTTGCAGTCAGGACCCTGCTTTGTGGACTCTGGACTTGATCTTGAGGCAGTGGGAACCAAGGATGCTGTGGCCCGGTCAGACTCACATTTAGAAAGTTCGCTCTCGGCCCGGCCTGGTGGCGTAGTGGTTAAGTTCGTGCGCTCCGCTTCGGCAGCCTGCATTCACAGGTTCGCATCCCGGGCGCCGACCTACCCACCGCTTATCAAGCCATGCTGTGGCAAGTATCCTATATAAAGTAGAGGAAGACAGGCACAGCTGCTAGCCCAGGGCCAATCTTTCTTAGCAAAAAGAGGAGGATTGGCAACAGATGTTAGCTTAGGGCTACTCTTCCTCACCAAAAAAAAAAAAGTTCGCTCTCCCATCAAGAGGCAAGCAGACTAGTGGGGAGAGAGGGAGCCCAGTTGGGTGCCTCTGCTGTGGCCCAGGGGAGAGGGCAAGGCTGGTTGGGCAATGGCCAAAGGTGGCCAATGACTAAGATGGCTCAGAGATGGTCCAGGATGCTTGTGCCTGCTGGTGGTGCTGGGGAAGGGGCTGTGTTGGCTGGCACATGGCTGAGACCTGGCCCTGTGGCCACAGGTAAACAAATGTTTCTCTGCTCCAGCCCATGGTGAGGTGTGTATGGCTTCCCGTGGACGCAACCTCTTCCCTGAAATCTGTCCTGATTTCTGCTGTGGCACCTGTTACTACCAGTATTGCTGCTCTGATGTGCTGAAGAAATTTGTGTGGAACGAGGAAAGGTGTGCTGTGCCTGAGGCCAGGTGCGTAAACCAGTAGTCACAGGGCAGGTGGCTGGAGCCTGCCCCCAGCGGGAGCATGCGTGGACGGGAAGTAGCCCTGCTCTTCTGGCCTCTCAGCCCTCTCAAGATGGTGGCAGAGTGTTGGGCCAGGGGGGTTGGGGAGCCCCTGTTCTGGGCTGGACTCCCCAGACTCTGCTTAGTCACTTGCCCCTGTCTCCCACACTCTCGAGGGCTCCGGCTCACCCAGCCTGGGGCTGAGCAGGTTTCTCAGGGGTCAGTGGCCTCTGCTGGCCCTGTGGCTCAGCCCTGGGTGTGTACTTGTACAACATGTCTTTAGGACGGGCACCTTGGTGTGAGTGTACCCCACAGGATGTGCATGCACTGGGGGGGAGGGGCGGATGTTGTATGTGATTTGTGCAGGTACCATCTTGTGGGCACTAAAGGGCACTGTGCATGGGTATGCGTCCCACTGTGTGCCATGCCTGTGTCCTCTTTGCGTGGCCTATGGATTTACACTGCGTCTTGGGTTTAGACTGTTTCATGGGCTGGAACCAGAGTTCCAGGCCCCTGCGTGTGTCTCCCTTTGCCACATTCTCTGTTTCTTTTGTTTTGGCCACAGGTATAGAGGGTTGAGATGTTCATCCTTCTCAGCTCATGGCAGGTGATCATCACTGGTCTGGGCAAGACCAGCCCCCCAACTCTCTCTCTTTTTTTTTTTTTGGTGAGGAAGATCAGCCCTGAGCAACATCCATGCTAATCCTCCTCTTTTTTTTTTTGCTGAGGAAGACTGGCTCTGAGCTAACATCTATTGCCAATCCTCCTCCTTTTTTTTCCCCAAAGCCCCAGTAGATAGTTGTATGTCATAGTTGCACATCCTTCTAGTTGCTGTATGTGGGACGCGGCCTCAGCATGGCCGGAGAAGCGGTGCTTTGCTGCGCACCCGGGATCCGAACCTGGGCCGCCAGTAGCGGAGCGCACGCACTTAACCGCTAAGCCACGGGACCAGCACCCCCCCACACACACTCTCTTATATATTTACTTTAATCTCTCATTCCATTCCCCTCTCACCCCATAGGCAACCAGTCTGCCGTATCCTTTTGATTGTTTGAGTTCTTGCAAAGTCTATGTCGTTTTGTGGGCACGGTGAACCCCCTTACTTTTTGCATTCAGTGCAATGTTTGTAAGAACCATGCACATTGCTGTGTGTACATCTGGTCCATGCCCACCACTGATGTATCATTCTCTGTGCTGTGAGTCCAAAACTTGCTATCGTAGATAGACTATGATACTACATCCACCTATACTTCCTCCTACCTCCTTTTACGGAGCCATGTGAGAATTTCTTGGAAGTGTACGTGGCAGTGAATTGCCAGGTGAGAGACATGCATGTAGTTACCGACTAAGGACTTTCAAACTGCTCTTGGGAAAGGCGACACCAGGCTGCATACCTGCCAGCCACACCTGAGGGTTCCTGATGGATCATATTCCATCCTTTTACTTTCATCCTTTTGATGTCCTTATATTTTACAGCTGTCTTTTTTTGTTTTTTAATCCATTCTGGTAATTTTTTTAAAAAACAGGAGCATTTATTCCATTAAAATTATTTTTTTTGTGAGGAACGTCAGCCCTGAGCTGATTCCAATCCTCTTTTTTTTTTTTTTTTTTTGCTGAGGAAGACTGCCCTAGGCTAACATCCCTGCCCAACTTCTTCTACTTTATATGGGACACCACCACAGCATGGTCTGGCAAGTGGTGGGTCGGTGCGCGCCTGGGATCCGAACCTGCGAACACCCGGGCTGCTGAAGCGGAGTGCGCGCACTTAACCGCTGCGCCACCGGGCCGGCCCCCATTTAAATTTAATGTAATTGGTATTCTGGGATTGTATTTGCCATCTTATTTTGTACTTTTATTTATTGCTCCTATTCCGTATTTCTTTCTTTTTCACTTACTGTATTGTTTTGGTTTGTTTTTATTCCATTTTATTCTTCTACTGTTTACTTCTTCTTTTCCATTCTGTGTGCCTTTATTCATTTTTCTTGCCTCATTGCACTGGCTGGAACCTCTAGTACCTTGTTGAATTGAACTGGTGAGAGCAGACATCCCTGTCTTGTTCTCAATTTTAGGGAGAAAGCGTTTGCTATTAGGTATGATGTTAGCTGTAGCTTTTCATAGGTCCCTTTATCAGGTTGAGGAAGTTCCCTTCTATTCCTAGTTTGCTTGGAGTTTTAATCATGAAGGAATCTTGAATTTTGTCAGATATTTTTCCTGCATTTGTAGAGATGATCATATGATTTTTCTACTTTTATTCTGTTAATATGGTAAATTACATTGACCTTGTGTTTCAAGACTATTTTATCTGAGCAGAACTTAAGTTGATGGTTATTTTCTCTTAGCATACTGTCTTCTGGCTTTCATTATTTTGTTGAGACATCAGCTCAATAGCCAGTTGTCCCTCATTTAAAAGATATCCTTTTTTTGGGCCGGCCCTGTGGCTTGGTGGTTAAGTGCGCGCGCTGCGATGCTGGTGGCCCGGGTTCGGATCCCGGGTGCGCATCGAGGCACCACTTCTCCGTTCATCCTGGGGCTGAGTCCCACATGCAGCAACTAGAAGGATGTGCAGCTACGACATACAACTATCCACTGGGGCTTTGGGGGGAAAAAATAAAATAAATAAAAATTTTAAAAAAAAAAAAAAAAAAAAAAAAGATATCCTTTTTTCCCTCTGAAAACTTTTTAAGATTTTTTTCTTGTCTTTGGTAATCTTCAGTTACACTATGATGTATCTAGGTATGGATTTCTTTTTATTTATGCTGCTATGGATTTGTTGAACTTCTTAAATCTGTGGTTTAGGGGCTCTCATGTGTTCTAGAAAATTCTCTGCCATTACTTTTTTTTTTTTGAGGAAGATTGGCCCTGTGCTAACATCTGTTGCCAGTCTTCCTCTTTTTTCTTTTTTCTCCCCAAAGCCTCAGTACGTAGTTGTATATCATGGTTGTAGAGTTGTAGCTCTTCTATGTGGGATGCTGCCTCAGCATGGCTTGATGAGCGGTGAGTAGGTCTGCTCCCAGGATCTGAAACGGCGAACCCTGGGCTGCCAAAGCAGAACACATGGACTTAACCGCTGTGCCACTGGGCCAGCCTCTTGCTGTTACTTCTTTAAATATTGCCCTTCCTCCTTCTCCTTTCCTTCTGGAACTCTGATTAGACATATGCTACATCTTCTATTCCAGTGTCCATGTCTCCTAGTCTCTCTTCCATATTTTCATGTCTGTGCTGCATTCTGGATAATATCTTCTAACCTCTCAGTTTGCTCAATTCTTTCTTCAGCTGTGTCTAATCTGCTGTCAAACTCATCTATTGAGGTTTTTTTTTTTTTTTTTTTTGAGGAAGATTAGCCCTGAGCTAACATCTGTTGCCACTCCTCCTGTTTTTTTGCTGAGGAAGATTGGCCCTGGTCTAACATCCGTGCTCATCTTCCTCTACTTTATATGGGACGCCGCCACAGCATGGCTTGATAAGCAGTACATATGTCCACGCCTGGGATCTGAACCTGTGAACCCCGGGCCACCAAAGCAGAGTGTGTGAATGTAACCACTATGCCACTGGCCTGGCCCCTTGAGGTTGTTTTTTGTAGTGTTATACTGTATTGTAAAATATAATTCACACACAGAAGACTGTGCAAAATAAATGTACAACTCAGTGATTTATCACAAAGCAAATATCTGCATAACCACCACATACGTCAAGACCTACAACATTACCAGCAACTCAGAAGCCCCTTTGAGCTGACTCTCAATCACTGCCTCTTCTCCCAGCCCACAAAGGTAACTATGATTCTAGCTTTTATATAACTTTGCTTTTCTTTAGAGTTGTAATACCCAAGTATGTATCCCTAAATTCTATAGTTTGGTTTTTTTTAGGGGGGGAGTAAATATACTTTCTTGAGTTGATATATATCAAACATATATAAAAGTACACAGATCTTAAGTATACAGTTAAGTGCATTATTACAATGTAAACACATCCATGTAACCACCACCTAAGCAGGTCAAGATAGAACACCATAGCACCCCAGACGCCCCCTTATGTTCCTTTCCAATCAACATCCCCACTGTTATCCCCAAAGGTAACCATGAACCTGCTACACCTATTGTATATATTTACAGACATGCACATGAAATCGTACATATATTGCCTGTTGTTTTGTATCTGGTTTCTTTCTCTTAACGTGAGTTTTATCCATATTGTGTTGTTTGTTCATTTCCATTGGTGTAAGGTATTAAGTTTTATATCACATTTTATCCATTCTAATGTCAGTGGACATCTGGATTGTTTCCATTTTTTTGTCTATTACAAATAATGCTGCTGTGAGCATTCTTGTACCTATCTTTTCGTGCACATGTTTATGCATTTCTTTTAAGCGTATGTCTAGTAGTAGATGTAAGTAGAGATCAAATTTCATTTTTTAATATGGATATCCAATTGACCCAGCACCATTTATTGAGAAAAGTATCCTTTTTTCTATCACTCTGCGGTGCCAACTTTCTTATCAATTGAGTTTCCATATATGCGTGGTCATGTCTCTAGGCTCTCTATTACATTACATTGGCCTATTTGTCTATCTAAAGCTAAATAGACTGGGGCCAGCCCTGTGGCTTAGGGGTTAAGTGTGCGCGCTCCGCTACTGGCGGCCCGGGTTCGGATCCCGGGCGCGCACCAACACACTGCTTCTCCGGCCATGCTGAGGCCGTGTCCCACATACAGCAACTAGAAGGCTGTGCAACTATGACATACAGCTATCTACTGGGGCTTTGGGGGAAAAAAGGAGGAGGATTGGCAATAGATGTTAGCTCAGGGCCGGTCCTCCTCAGCAAAAAGAGGAGGATTGGCGTGGATGTTAGCTCAGGGCTGATCTTCCTCAAAAAAAAAAAAATAAAGCTAAATAGACTAAAACAGACTCGTAATTACTGTAGCTTTGTAATAAGGTTTGATATTTTTCTTCAATATTGTCTTAGTTATTT